TAAACTCTCCCTTAAAAAGGAGAAAAATCTTTACAAGACTACAAAAACTAAAAATGGACATAATTTGCCTCCAAGAGACACACATTAAGAGACAACATTCCAAAATTCTAGAACAACTGAAAATTGACAAACTTTTATTTTACACTTGCGTCTCAAAAGAAAAGATGAACAGCCCTTAATGTTAAAAAAAAGATGAATCCCAAACAAATCTGTGCAGATGAAGAGGGGAGAATACTAATGGTGGAAATTGTGGTGTATCAAAAACAGATATTGATGGTAGCAATATATGCACCTAATGATAAGCAAGAGCAATTTTATCAACAACTACACAAGAAAATATTGGATTTAAATTACCAAAATCTTTGTATAATGGGAGACTTTAATGCAATAGCAGATGCGACTATGGATTATAAAAGCCATAAACAAGGGAGAAAAGGAGGAAATGTACTACCTAAAACGTTTTTAAGAATGAAAGAATTGTGTATTCAAGACATATGAAGAGAGCTAGAAGCCCAGAAAAACTACATTATACATTTTATTCAAATAGACATAAATCACGGTTAGAATTGACATGATATGGACATCTTTTGACTTGAAAAAGATAATACAAGAGGTGGGGATAGAAACTAATGTTTGGGCAGACCACAACCCAATAAAAATGATCTGGAAAGGAACCAAGAAAAAACTAAGATGGTCTCTGAATAAATCTATATTGAAAGAAAAAGAATTCTTACAACTAGCAACAAAGGAAATGGAATTTTTCAAAAAAATAAACATGAAAGAAAAAAACACCCCTTCAAAATGTTTGGGACACGGCCAAAACATACTTCAGAGGGCTGGCTATAACTTATGCTTCTAAAAAGAATAAAGAAAAGAAACAATTACAGTTAAAGCTGAGAGAAGGACTTAAAAAATTGGAACTAGAGCTACAAAAAGACCCACAAAAGAAAGTCCTTAAGAAACAAATGGAGATAATAAAGCATAAATTAAACCTGGCTGAGACAGAAATAATGGCTCAACAGATTAGATGGACTAAACAGAATTTCTTCGAAAACACTAATAAGCCGGGGTGATGGTTAGCATATAGATTGAAGAAAGAAAAGAAAAAAAGAATGATAAATAAGCTACTAGATTCAAAGGGAGAATTACAGTTCCAAAATGATACAATGAAAAAAATCATTAAAGACTACTATGAGACACTTTATACGGCAGAGGAAGTTCCTAAAGAAAAAATACAGTCGTACTTAAAAAAAGCAGACTTGCCAAAAATCCCAGAGAATATTCAAAATATACTAAATGGAAAAATATCAATGATGGAGATTATAAAAGCCATAAAAGGGCAAAAAAAGAGATAGGACTCCAGTCCAGATGGACTTCCCACAGAATTTTATATACCTGTAGCATTACAAGATGTATTAAGTCCAACGTTAAAAGAAGTGTGTAATGAAATCTTGTTGGAGACTAAAATACCAAAGTTGTAGACTGAGGCTAATATTACTTTAATACCTAAAGAAGACACTTACACAAATAAAAAACTATAGACCAATATCGCTATTAAATATGGATTATAAAATCTTTGCCTCAATAATGGCAGAAATAATTAAGAAATTCTTGACTGAATTTATACATACAGACCAAAATGGCTTCCTACCCAAAAGACAAATAATAACTTAAGAATGATTTAAGATGTTTTAGAGTATTATGAAAACCATCCAGGGAAAAAGATGGCATTAATATTTCTTGATGCACAAAAAGCGTTTGATAATTTGAACTGGCAATTTATGTTCCAGCAGTTGGTGGAAATGGACTTTGGGAAAAACTTTATAAATACAATTCAAGGAATCTATCATAAATAAAAGGCTAGAATAATTTAAAATGGAGACTACATGGAAAATTTTGATATCAAAAAAGATACAAGACAGGGATGTTCATTATCCCCATTGTTATTTATACTAACATTGGAAGTACTGACTAGAAAGATTAACATAGAAATTAAAGGATTGGAGATAAAAGTTCAAAAATATAAACTACAAGCCTTTGCAGATGATTTGGAGAGAATAGAAAAGTTTGGAGAAGTGGTGGGTCTGAAAATAAAGTGTTAAGACTAAAGTATTAAAAAAGAACTTAACAGATAAACAGAAAAGTCAACTTACAAAAAAGACCAATCTGCAAATAGTTAAAAAAGTTAAATACTTAGGAATCTACCTAACAACAAGATGTGCAACATTAAAAGAAGACAACTATGAAAGGTTGTTAAAACAAATAAAACTGGACTTGGAAAAGTGGAAAAATCTTCAACTGTCATTGTTAGGAAGAATAGCTACAGTGAAAATGAACATTTTATCAAAAATACTTTTCTTATTCCAAATGATTCCCGTAAAACTGGGAAAGGGCTTTTTTGATGACCTAAATGCAACAAAATTGAGATTCATTTAGCAAGGGAAAAAAGCACGAATTAAAGTGAAAATGCTACAAGAAGCTAAAGATAGTGGAGGATTTGGACTCCCGGACTGGAGACTATATTATCAAGCAGCAATCTTACCATGGCTTAAAGAATGGATAACACTGAGAAACAAAAGACTATTGTACCTAGAGGGGCATGACCTACAAATTGGCTGGCATGCCTTCCTATGGTAAGGGAAGAATAAAACACACAGATATTTCCAAAATCATTTCATAAGGAATGCTCTTCTTTTGGAATGGGAAAGAATAAAAGAGAAAATTGATATTAAGCTACCTGAATGGCTTTCAACAATGGAAGCTTTTGCTTACCCTAATTTAATTAACTATGACAAAGACATGACTCTTTATCTTGGACAATGAAGGAAAATTGAAAGACAGACAAGATTTAGAATGACAAGGTATTGATTTACCATGGTGGCCATATTTATAAATCCAAACAAGATATTTTATAAACAGCAGACAGAATTTGATCAAATATTGTTAAAAACAGATGAAAACTTGATTAAGAAACTCTATAGATTTCTGCTAAATTTAAAGATAGAAGAAGAACAAGTAAAAGAAACAATGATAGCATGGGCAAAATTTTTTGGATATTCTAAAGATTTGGAAGACTGGCAAAAACTGAGATAGAAATATCAAATTGACTAAAGCAGTCTCATATAAAGAAAATTTGTATAAAATGTTTCACAGATGGCATATGACACCAGTAAGATTAGCGAAAGTGTTTAAAAATACTTAGAATAATTGCTGGAAATATAAACAAAGGCCAGGTACTTATTACCATATGTGGTGGACATGCCCTAAAGCAAAAAAGTTTGGGGTAAGATACATACATGGTTGGAAAAAATGATTAAAAGAAAGATAGAATTTAAACCAGAACTGTTTTTGTTAGGAATATTAGGACCTAACTATGAGAAGGAGAATGAATATTGCATATACTGACAGGAAGGACTCACTGGAGAAGGGCCTAATGCTGAGAAAGATTGAGGGCAATAGAAGATGGGGACGACAGAGAATGAGATGGCTGGATGGAGTCACTGAAGCAGTAGGTGTGAACTTAAATGGACTCCAGAAGATGGTAGAGGACAGGAAGACCGGAGGAACGTTGTCCATGGGGTCGCGATGGGTCAGACACGACTTCGCATTTAACAACAACAACATACTGACAGCAGCGGGAATAGTATTTGCCCAATATTGGAAAAATGAAACTTACCAACTGAAGAGGTTTTAATTAAGAAAATCTTAGAATGTGCAGAAATGGATAGATTGACCTTAGAGATTAAAGAGAAAGAAGATTCTGTTTATTTTAGAACATGGGATAATTTTTACCAATGGTTAGGAAAATGAACTAGTGAGAAATGAATGTGATATGTTATTTTGAATATATATTAACAAGAATCATATGCATTAATTGATACTGTTTATGATTATCATTTATTACACATTACAGTTACTTATTACAATACCAACTATTGTTAATTGAACATATGTACCCAGACAATAGTCTGTTTGCTAAAGATTGAAAATGCTATTGGGGGATAATCCCAATGTCGACCCCAACTCACGCACAACACCAATCCTGATTCCAACCCCACCCTAAACCTTAATCCTTATCCTGACCCTATTCTATTCTCAACCCTATAAAACTCAATAAAATTCTATTAAAAAAAGAACTAGGGAGTAGTTGATCAAATCAATTAAAGCCAAGAGTCTTATAGAGCAGGGGCCCCCAACCTCTGGGCCGCAGCCTGGGCCAAGGCTGCGGGATCTTAGCCAGAGGGCCATGGAAATGGCTGGCTGGTGCGCGCAAGCATGGGCGTGCATTACCTCCACTCACGCGCATGCGCGTGAACAGGGGCACTAGTGCTGGGTGGGTGCGGCCTGTTTGCACATGCCACATGCATGAATGGGGCTGCTAGTGCCATGCCAGTGTGCGGGACCCTATTTGTGTGCATGCTGCACACCTATTTTGGAAGCTGCTTTCCTTCCCTCTGGGCCCTGAGCCTGGAAAGATTGGAGACCTCTGTTATAGAGGTCATCTCAGAGCTTCATTCTGTGATCTTTGAAAAAACATTGAGAATAAATATAGTGTCAAAAGATTGGAGAATGGGAAATATTTTCCCTATCTTCAAAACAGGTTAAAAAAAAGATACCCAGATAACTATAGACTTGTTTATGTCAATACTGGGCAAAGCAGAGCTTTTTATTACCTTGTTATAACCATAGTCTAATTGTACCTCTGTAGCAACCTTTGGTTTACCAGATATTGACACAAGCTGTTAAAGGACAGCAATTAGTTCTCCTCTGCAGCTTCTTTTTCTGCTACCCTGAGGGGCATAATAAATTTAACCTGGCATAAGCAGTTGCTCCATTCCTATTTAATCCATTGTGCTTTTTAATATTTTAAAAGTTAAAAGAGAAGAAACAGAAATGCAGGAGGCAAGCCTCTCCAAACTTTTTTTAATTTTCAGAATATTTTTCTTGATGTAGTTTGATGTAACTAGAGTCTAGTTCTCAAATATGAAAATAATAATTACCATATATCAGGGGAGCAGCAGCTTGTAAACTCTGTAGAATTTCTTTGTTCGCCCGAGATGCAGCAGAATAAATAATACCAATCAATTGTTCTGAAAGTTCAGGATTTCTTAAGCCAAGAAGAACAAGCTGCTGAGGCAGACCAGCCAGCCAACAAGTTAATACTTTACCTTGGCTTCTGCAGTGCATAAGAAAAAAACAATAACAGGTAACTTCATAGTTATAATATAAGCACATGCACACAAAACAAACTCTGAAGGTTTTGAGGCCCAGAAAATAGGCTCTTAATTCACAACATTTTCAGGGATGAATTTCAGAGGCATTATATTAATCTGAAGAGTGGAATTGAAAAGTATTTTGTGGGTATATCACTGCATATTCCGTTAGCCTTTTAAAGAACAAAGCATTTACAAAGTGACATTAAACAAAAATGATTTTCTCTTTTATATTATATGACACAATGTTGAAAATAATATATATTATTACCTATTTATATGAAGGTTCATTTCTTCCTTTTGATAAACTCTGGCAAAAAAATTCAAAAGTAATGTACGTACAGGAAAAGGAAGATTCCTTTGCTGATAAAATGTGTAGACTGCTTTCATCAAAGTTTCTGTTGCTGCTAAATAAGAGGTCAGAATAAAAATCAGTAGTGACACTTTATTTCCCTTGCATTTTGTAGAAAAAAAATCTATGTTAGATATTAGAATTACAAGAGCATAATCTAAGATTTGGATAGCATGATTTTCTACAGTATGATAAGATCAATGTAGATTTCAAAATCACTATGTTAATATGGAATAAATTAACCCTAACCCCAGACTGCCAAAAAAAAAAAAGCCGTATGGCAGAGGTTTCATTGAGGGTCACATCAACATTAAGGTTGCCTCAGGAGGGCGGGGTATGTGTGGCGGGGTACGTCATTCGCATCAAGGGTGCCTGTGGGGGCCTGGGCAGGAGTGGGACAAACTTGAATGTCCTTGGCAGAAGGGGGTGGAACCAGGGCAAGTGCCAAGGCATGGTCCACTGGAGGAGCCTCACTGTTCCTCTCAGGCTATGGGGGGGGGGCCCTGGATGGTGGCGTAGGCTACCCAGAGCCCTGGGCAGCAGAGGTCAAACACCCAGCCTGGCCCTCGAGCACTTGCGGCACAAAGCCCAGCCCCACTTCCCCAAAGGGGCGCCCAGCTGCCCTTACTTCCTTCACAGCTGCTGCTGTGCTTGCTCTCCTTAGCCAGTAGCTCATGATGATACGAGGGCAAAGTCAGAGAGAGGCCCATTCCCTCTCCATGGGAGGAGACCCAGCTTTGTATCCAAAGCTTCCTTAGCAATAAGATGGGAGACTCCAGGATAGGCCAGGAGGAGGGGGTAAGGGGATGGTGAAAGGGCAGCAGGGCAGGATTGACTTCCCTCAGACCCTCCCTCTTCTTCTTTCCTTCCTTCCTTCCTAAGTACAGAATGGTGGGAAAATATTTGAGATGAGGGAGGGAGAAAAATAGGCAAGAAACACAACTGGGGAAGTGTCAACCTTCGTGAGGAATGAAGAAATAAACCATCACCTGGAAGTGGCCAGCACATGGCCCTCACCTACTTCACATATCTGGCTTGGTGGGCTTTGGGGGAGGGGATGCCATGAGCAGCGTGAGAGTCAACGTTACCTGCACAATGCCGCCCAGCCCCCAGCCTGCCCGGTTTTGGCAGGCTGTGAGGCACTCTCCTCCCAGCACCGAGAGGTTGAGCCAGGCGGTGCAAATATGAAAAGAAACGCAACGCTGCCCAGTCCCCAGTCTGCCCGGTCTCGGCAGGCAGCGGGGCACTCTCCTCATAGCGCCGAAAGGCTGAGCCAGGTGGCATGAATCTGAAAAAAACTGCAATGCTGCCCAGCCCCAGTCTTGGCAGGCAGAGGGGCGCTTTCCTCACAGCGCCAAGAGGTTGAGCCAGGAGGTGTGAAGCTCGCCAGCTTTGCATCTTGCTCCCTGCTGAAACTGGGCAGGCTGGGGGCTAGGCAGCATTACACTTCTCATCAGATTTGTGCCATCCAGCTCAGCTCTTGGCGCTGTGAGGAGTGCCCTGCTGCCTGCAGAAACCCTTCCCCCAGAGCCCATCAAACCAGATATGTGAAGGAGGTGAGGCCATTTGCTGGCCACTTCCAAGTGATGGTGCATTTCTTCATTCCTCACAAAGAGTGACACCTCCCAAGCATGTACCCAGGCGGCAGGGGCTGGTTCCTCGCTGGTTCCAGATGGCCTTGTGGAGCTAAGACTGAATACGTTTCAGCATAGATGGCCACCACAAAATTGTACATTGGCTCCCGGCTGGCTGGGCCAGGGCCAAGGCAGTGGGGGCTGTTCCCTCACTGTTTCCATGATGGCTTCACAGGCCACATGAAACCACTTTGCAGGCTGGGCCTTGTGTTTGACATGTCTGCCTTATGGTTCTCAGCACAAACACAATAATATCAAGAAAAAGCAGGTAACGACACGTGGTTAATCTATCATCTTGTTGAAATTTGAAATAAATAAACATATGAAAACATCTATGATAAAATGGGCTAAGAATTTGGGGCATAACATATTATTGGAAAAGTGGGAAAACACATAGCTGAAAGGATTGGTATATGACTTCAGAAAAATTATGTAAAATATATAACGGTACCTTATACTTATGTTGAAAATGTGCACAAGAAGAGTCATTTTATCATGCTTGGTGGACTTAAAATAAGACAGAAAATTCTGGGTTCAAATATGTATAATGGTGCAAAAGATTTCAAAGACTAAAAATCAATTGAAACAAGATTGGCTTTCTTGGAAGTAGTGGACAGACAACTAAAAAAAAAGCCATGAAAGATTTTTATACATGATCACTACTGAAAGACTATATGTGTCAGGTCCCTATCGGTATACTTTCATTCTGGAAGGAGGGGGGAGGATGTGTGGAGATTGAGGATTTTTTACTTTTGCTTTGATGTATCTGCATGGGATCTGGGGAGGGAGGGGAATAAGCCCTTAGGGCCACCTGTTTTGATTCCTTTCCATCTCTCCTGCTTGCTAGCAAGATCGCAGCACAAGAGAAGCAACTTGTTATCACCTTTTTGGCTCAGAGTTTTCAAATCTTCATGCCAGTGGATTGGCTCTTGATGGACTGGGGCACTGGAGTGGAGTTTGAATAGTGGAAAATTTAGCTTAACGTTTAGCATGGGAACTTCAGATTCTGCCTGACTTCTCTGCAATCAGTTTCTCTCAGTAAAAGATCCTTTTGAAATAACTCTTCTTTCAAGAGTCATGCTGTCAAAGTTCTGACTGACAAATCCAACTAAGCAAACATCTTCGAGACTTTCCGATCTTTTAATGCAAAGCTTTATTGAGTACACCATATTGGTACATAAGAAAGTAAAACCAGCTCTGAAGGGCCCATTCCCAAACCCCTATATAAAAACATTAACTTCCTCCTCCTCCCTCTGGGTCAGGTCACGTTGCCCAATCAAGTTGGAAAAATATTGTTATGAGAGCATCTCTGGATCTAGCCAGACACCTGGCCATTGCCCTTGATTCCCACAGTCTGCTTCCTTAATCTTTGAAGCCTGCATTCCAAACTTCTCCCCTCTCCCCAAGCTCGTTGGCAAGCTGAGAAGCAATGACTGTCACACCAGCAAGACTGGGCTTCAAAGCATGACAAGCAGACCTTCCTAAAAATTGGAAGGAACCTGAAAAACAATAAACATACATTAAGCCATTTCCTATATTTGGAAGCCCCTGGTTTCTGCGGATACTTCGCATGGAATCTACTGATTAGCCACTCTGCTCTGATGTTATGAAGCTTAACCTATGAAGTTTCTCCTATTGGGTATCCCCTCCATTGTATTAAATACTGTAGCTTTCCCTTATGAATCCTAGAATCCAGGACTGTGCCTCTTTCCTTCCACTATTATTGGACTGGGCACTTCCTTATAGACTGGCCTCAACCTAGATCCCATGGCTGGCTTCAGCAAACTGCAATGAAATATTGGGTCTTCCACATAAAATGTTCCTTGGGGAGCTTGTTTCTTGTCTGCTGGTTTCTTCTGGCTCTCTGTTGCCTTACCTAGAGCTTTTTTAACATTACTCCAGGTGCTTTTGATGGATTCCACCATTCAGTCAGTGTTACTGATGAGGGGGTTTCTCTTGAATATTCTCGCACTGGCACAAACTTCAATCCTGTGGCTATTTTAAAAGGGATGAGCCCCATGCTACTATGCACTGCGTTATTGTATACCACCTAGCAAATGGCAACAGTTTTGCCCAGTGAGACTGCTCATAGTTGACACAGCAATTTATTTATTTATTTATGAGACTTATATACCACTTTAAGTGCAAGCACTCTCTAAGCGGTGTACACCAGTAAGCAACGTATATATATATTTACATTGCCCCCAACAATCTGGGTCCTCATTTTACCTACCCTGGAAGGATGGAGAGCTGAGTCAACCTTGAGCCGGTGAGATTTGAACTGCTGACCTGCTGAACACAGTCAGCTAAAGTGGCCTGCAGTACTGCACTCTAACTGCTGTGCCACCTCGGCTTATAATGCAATGCAAGTATTATTCCACCATTTCATTAGCTCGTTCTGCGGGCCCATTCATATTATGATGAAAAGCCAAGCTGAGATCCTGGGAAGACCCCATCAGCTTTATGAAATCACACCAAAGCTTACCTGTGAATTGAACCTTTGGTCTGAGATTATGCATTTAGGCACTCTGTGCAGTCAGTAAATATGTTGCAAAAAATCTTGGCCAGCCTCTGGGCTGATGGAAGGCTGGAGCATGCTGTGAAGAAAGAGCTACTGAGTCTGTGAAAGAGAATTGAGTTAGAAGCTGGATTTCCAGTCTCAGGTTTGTCTCTGTATCTCTCTGTAAGAAGTCTTTAATTGAGCTATGTTGCTGTAAAGAAGAATATATGGTATTGTAAATATTTTTATATGAATATAAAGAAGTTATTTTGAATCAGCTAAATGCAGTCAACTGTGAGAGCTTCTGATTTATTTTTTCACCACTAGAGAAATTAAAATTCTCTAACAGGTTATGGGCCCAGAGCTTACTAAGGACTGCATTGTAATTTAAAGCTGGAAGAAATTGCCTGTGTTTAGAAAGTATAAGAAAAAGGCAGAATTAGCAGAATGGCTGCATTGGAATTTAAGGAAAGCTGTGTGCCTCGTTTAGGCCAGAAGAATTACATTGTATGGGTTGCAAAAATGTAATGTTTGCTGAAAGCTAAAGAGCTGTGGTATATTGTAGAAAATCCACCACAAGTATTTGCAGCTGCTGATCAGAAGAGTCATGATCGAGCAATGGCTTATCTCATCTTGAATTTAGATGATGAACAATTTCTAAATGTTGCAAATTTAAAGACTGCAAAGGAGATTTGGATGAAGTTGAGAGCTATGCACGTGAATGTTTCTGCATACAATATAGTGCAATTGTCAAGAAAACTTTACAGGGCCTGTTTGCAACCAGGTGAATCTGTGGAATAGCATTTAAATAAAATGCAAAGTTTATTTTTGAGCTTAGAACAACGTGGGATTAAATTCCCTAAGTCCCAGAAGATTTTATTGGTGTTGAACAGTTTAGATAAAACCTGGGATAGAGTT